GGAAATGTGCTCCACAAAAAATAATAATACTGGAAATCCATTGACCAAGATTATAATAACCAGAATCTTGAAACCTTGCGAAGGTTTTTCCTTCCCTCGGCTCTTATATTAAAATGAGTCAGAGCAGGGTCACTTTAAGTTTCTTGTTCATTCTATCTTGTTTTCTGGGCTGAGTTCATGTTTTGCTAACTGACTTTGCATGCCTTCTCCAAGGTCATCTCTCCAGTTCTCTACAGCTAGTCTTCAATTCTGTTTCCTCTGAGTGGTATAGAAAAAAGCATTTTTCTCTTCCCTTTCTTTGTAATACTAGTTCCATATCAATAGGTACAACTAATTAGAAATGTGGTTTAGTCATCAAAAAGTACATTTTTTTATAATTAATAGAAAAGACTATTGTTACAAGAAATCTTCATGGAGACTATTGCATTAGGAGAAAAAAAACAGCCATTCCAAAAGATGCACTCTGATTAACTAGCAATTAATAAAAAAATAGTTAAAACATAACTTTAAAAACAATAACAACATGAAAGCAGCAGAAACAAGCATAGGAGAGAAATATAAAAGGAAGTTCAACTGGTATTCCAACAGAAGCTGGGGGTTGGGTGGAATAGCAGAAAAGGAAAAAAAAATGCCTAAAAGGTGTTGGATCAGGTTCCCCAGAGAGCATTTTAGGAATGGGAAGAAGTGAATAAAGCAGAAAAGTTATTCTTACTCACACCATATTTAACCTGTACTTTTTAAAAACAAAATTGGATAAATTATATACAGGGTATCAGCTATATAGTACATTGCAATGTTGTTGTTGTTGTTGTTAATTGCGAAGTCGTGTCCGACCCATTGCGACCCCATGGGCAACGTTCCTCCAGGTCTTCCTGTCCTCTACCATCTTCTGGAGTCCATTTAAGTTCACACCTACTGCATTGCAATAGATTTGTCTATATTCAATAAAGAGCTATAAAGACAGGTAGTCCTCGATTTACGACCACAATTGAGCCCAGGATTTCTGTTGTTAAGTGAGACATTTGTTCAGTGAGTTTTGCCCCATTTTACGACCCTCCTTGCCACAGTTGTTAAGTGAATCACTGCGGCTGTTAAGTTAATAACACGGTTGTTAAGTGAACCTGGCTTCCCCATTGACTTTGCTTGTCAAAAGGCCACAATAGGTGATCACATGACCCAGGGACACTGCAACTGTTATAAATATGAGTTGGTTGTCAACATTTGAATTTTGCTCACGTGACCATGGGGATGCTGCAGCTGTCAAAAGTGTGAAAAACGTCGTAAGTCACTTTTTTCACTGCTGTTGTAACTTCAGTCACCAAACGAGCTGTTGCAAGTCTAGGACTATCTGCATGTTGTATTCCTGATGCCCTTATTGATTATATCTGGCATATATAAGGGTGTGCAACTACATGATCAAAAAATCCAGAGAAGGCTAATAAATCACCTGTATTGGTTGAAGAGGGAAGAAGATGGGAAGATTACAGTTGTTCCTACCAAAAAAGCCACCAGGAGTTCTCACAACTGAGGAAGGGTAAAGGATTATAAGTGCCACATTTCTCCTTATCCTGAGTATCTAATTTGGAACATTTTGAACTCAGTTCTTAATGCTTTTCCAAACACATATATACTGTGTTTCCCCAAAAGTAAGGCCTACCCTGAAAATAAGCCCTAGTTTGATTTTGGGGGGTGGGCCTAATACAGTGTTTCCCAAACTTGACAATTTTAAGGCACGTGGACTTCAACTCCCAGAATTCCACAGCCAGCAATGCTGGCTGTGGAATTCTGGGAGTTGAAGTCCACATGCCTTAAAATTGTCAAGTTTGGGAAACACTGGCCTAATATAAGCCCTACCTCCCCCCCAAATAATCTCTAATTTTGGCGGTGAAGCACACACCTAAAAATCGAGCTAGCGCAGGGGTGGGGGAGGTGGAGCCATGCCTCTCCTGGCCAGCCCATTTCTTCTGCCACATCTTCTGCAGCCAGGCCTGCATTTCTCAGTCACAAGCCTTTCCAGAAGGCTATTGCAGTCGAGAATCGAGCTGTAGATTCAATCCATAGCTTGGTTCTGCAAGACCTATGCAGTCAAGAACCAAGCTATGGATTGAATCCATAGCTCGGTACTCGGCCGCAGAGGCCCTCTGGAAAGGCCTGGCTGCAAAATGCAGGCCAGAATGCAGCTGCAGAATGAAGCTGCTCCTTCGCTCAGAAGAAGTGGACCGGCTGGGCGGGGCTGTTGGTGCCAGAGGTGAGTATAAAAGACACCCCCCAAAAATAAGACCTGTGTCTCTTTTGGAGGGAAAAAAAATTAAGACCCGGTCTTATTTTTGGGGAAACACAGTATATCCTTTTGCCTTTACCAAGGACTAATGGAGATGGGACCACACTACAACCTGTTCGTGGCAGCATCTTGTCAATGACCATGAAAGAACAAGCTTAAGATTGATGGAGAGACCAAATCATAAAAAGACCCACATTTGAATAAAGGAATTCCAACGGAAGAAGAGATCCTCTATAAAATCCTTTCATGTGCTGAGATGGACAGGCTTACAATGATTATGAAGGACAAGACAGAACTCGAATACTTCGAAATCTGGGACAAATTTTACCGTTGGTATGAATTAAAGAGTACTGCTCGGATCTCAAGTTAACGATAGGATTGAAATATATATATAACTGTACATATAATTGTATATTTAATTGTATTACATAGAACAGTGGTTCTCAACCTGTGAGTCGGGACCCCATTTGGGGTCAAATGACCATTTCACGGGGGTCGCCAAACAACGCAGTTTGCCATTTTTTTCCTCCTTTTCCTTAACTGTGCTACTCCCTTTTATTCTATTGGCTTTTGAAAGCCAATAGAATAGACTCTTGAATGGAGTCTAATTCTATTGGCTTTCAAAAGCCAATAGGAATTGTCCAGGCTGTCTCTGCCCTACTGAGCCCGCCAAAAGTCCCATTCTGCAAACAGTGCTGCACCAGTTGAGTAGTCCTCGGCTTACGACCGGTTGAGTAGTCCTCGACTTATGACCGGTTGGGGGTCGCGGCATTAAAAAGGTTGAGAACCACTGACATAGAAGGATGAGGCTTATATAGAGGTTAAGAATGATGTATTAAGTTTTTGTACCAGAAGAAACAAACTGTTAGGAATACTTACTCTGGAATGTCATGTGACATTTTTGTTTTAATTGTACTATAAATAAAAAACTTTTTAATTAAAAAAGACCCACATTTCAAAACACGTAATTTATCTCTCATGTCATCTCACTGACTGATGCTATCAGTATAATAGTATAATTGGTGTAACATAAAATTGAGAAGCATGTCTCTCCATAAACTCCATGCCCTCAAGCAAACAATCCTCTCAGTTTCGGTTCTCTGACTCAAGGAATTGTTGCAAAGACAAATGTTATCTGAAGTGTGCAAAGTGCTTTGAAAGCAGCAGTGCTGTTAGGGAAGATCTGAGCATAAGTCCAGGGGTGTATTTAGACAGAACTTTCCCATACATAAGAACAGCACAAAAACAACTTTTCAATAAACATTTCAGAATTCTACCTGTGGTTGGCTCACACACCTACATCTGAGCTGCATTTTTCTCTACCCATCCTTCAGTCAGCTGTAAGCTATGCTGTTATGAAACCCACTGTCCTATTGCTGATCTATATCCTGTCTTCTTTAAGGGAAGATTTAAATAATCTCCTTCCAAAATAATGGGTGACAAAGTCCAATACAGGCAGATCAAACTCATGATGTCACGTGACATTGCGTGATGTACCATGACTTTTTCCCCATTGCTGGCACTGGGGTGGGCGCGGTTTCGTGTGACACATCCGGCCCGCAGGCCTGCAGTTTGACCTGCCTGGTCTAACAGATTTCCTACGTCTCAAGAGTGCTATTGGATGTTGTCAAAACAAGCATAAAAATGCAATTTTACACTGGTGCAGCTAAACACAGCCTAAGGCTGTTTCATTCATAGGATTGGGGTGGGACAAAGGCACCACAATGGGGATGTGGCAGAACTGAGATTATACAGAGCATAAATGCGTTGGTTAGCCATAAATAAGGAAGGGGTCTTCACAAACTTTAAAAACAACAAAATTATGGCATGACTTTCTGAAAATTGCACCTCACAAAAGCATTTTTCCTCATTTTTTTTAAAAAAATCTTCTTGTGCCTTATCCGTTATCGGACATTGGCGATCATGTTGGCGATCCTGTTTTTATCAGCAGAATGACATCAAATATTCAAATGCAAATCAAATCAACCAATGAATATATACGAAACAAGCAAGATACACATCAACGGACATGTGTACCCCTTGCTAAAAACTCTCCGTAATTTAAGCAGGACTTGCTCTAAAATAGACGTGCCTAAAATCATAACCCTTAAGCATAAGGATGAGCCTTATTCTCCGAGGGGGTCCCTTCGAGCTTGATTCCTAGACAAGTTGCAGCAGTTTTCTCGGCAAGATTTCAAAAGTAGTTTGCCAGTGCTGAAAAAGTGACTGGTCTAAGATCACCCAACTGGGCTTCATGCCTTGGGCAGAACTCAGTCTCCTAATTTCTAGGCCAGTGCCTTTAACCACTACACCAAACTGCCTTTCGAGTTTTCTTTGAATCACGTAATTAAACATACTTAAGATTCACAACACTGCAATCATATGCTTAGGGAACTATTCCCACTGAACAAGCATAGCCTCGGCGCATGCTTCTCCGTCTGTCTGTTTTCACCGACTTTCGCTTAATGTAGGATGCCCCCCCCCCCTCAGCGTATCCCTGCTCCAGACTAAACACAACCAAGGCTGTAGAAGCGAACGGAAGAACACCCCCGCCCAATCAACGCTGCCCAGGCTTCTAAGACCGGGACCTAAGGAGCCTCAGAAAACCCCGCCCCTTCTCCTTACTTCATCCCCGCAGGCTCTGGCTCGGCATGGAAAGCAGGGGAAGAGGGCTTCATTCTCACGATTCGATTGGTCAAGTGGAAGAGTGGGCGGGAGGGAGAGCTCCGATTGGCTTGGGCAGCCGAGGGAGAGGGCGGGGACCGGCGCGGTACCCGGGCTGGCCTGCTGCATGTACCGGTGTCGTCTTTTTCCGTCTGCCTCCATGTTGAGTGGATCTCGGGGCTGGGGGAGAGAAGGTGCCTAATTTGCTTTGGGGCTGGCGGGCTAGAGGAAGGCCGTTCCCGCGCTCCGTAGAGCGGGAACTCTGCTGCGCTGGGATTTGCTGGGCTGCAACTAGAGGAGCCGGGGCAAGAATAGGTGCATGCAGAGGAAGGGATCGGATGGCTGGCATAATGCTGCCCGGAAGCGTGGGTGGCTTGGGGCCTCGGGAGTAGGAGGGTCTGTTTGCGGGAGTCCCCAGTCGGCGTGGCTGATAATTCAAATCACTGGGCTGGCGTATAGACATGACATATAAACTGGGGACGTTGATCAATGGGACTCCCTTCTCGTTGGCGCGTGGCTCCTCTGAATAGAATCGGACAAAATCCCGGGGGGGGGGGTGGCCGACTCGGGATTGAGAGTTGCCAAAAGAGGCCCGGGGCTTTTGCTTACTTGGGGTGTCTTGTCGATGGCTGCGGCCGCTTTGCAATCGAGGGAAGCGGAGATCTGGAGGAGGGCGATCGGAGGGCAAACCTGAGCAACTCGCCTCCTTTGGAAGCAGACTGAGCCCTTGCAAAAACTTAAAAGGAGCGGAGAAGAGGATTTGTTAGTAGGGCTTGTTTACAAACACCGCGATAAGGGGCAGCTGCACCTAAGGGAACTGCATGTAATGGTGAAGGAGGAGGAGAGGTCCCCCACACTTTCTGCATATATCTCTGTTGTTGTCTTAAAGAGGTGCTTCTGGAGTGGGCATGGTGGCTGGAGACCCGACGGCGGCATCCTAGTGTGTCTTGGAGAATCTGGAGGAGTTGCTTCTCTATCCTTAGCTAGCCAGCTGCTGCAACCTGTTCAAAAATGGCTTGGGCTCTGAAGCTGCCCTTAGCGGATGAAGTCATCGAGTCAGGCCTAGTTCAGGATTTTGATGCCAGCCTTTCTGGCATTGGCCAAGAGCTAGGTGCTGGGGCGTACAGTATGAGGTAAGTAAAGGAGGTGATTTTGCCCAATTTTTCATACAGCTTTTATGATGGGGAAATGCTGCACCCAAAAAGATTGAGCTGGGAACGTTCTGAGTGATGTCACATGGAGGAGGTGTGGTTAGAGCAAATATGTGTGGCTTTGCTATACAAAGTGAAGTATCTGATCTGGTTGGTTATAAGTTGTAGAACACATGACATACCCTATTTGCCCATGTAGGTGGATGTGTTGAAAGTTATGGTTGCATGTCCTTTAAAATGGTGGGTGAGTTGCACAGTAGATAATTCATGCCATGTACTTGCACTGAATCCAGGAAAAATAAAGATTAAAGTTCCACTCACATAACTTTAAAAAAGGAGTTTTCATAAGTACTAAAAAAAAGTGTGAGCACTGCGGTATCTACAGATGCCATCCTGGACTTGCATATCTGCAGTTTTACGACAGTAATCAGATTGCTTCCAAAATACCATAAAAGATCCTGTGTAACTGGTTTGTGCCATGTTATATATATGACACTGCCAAGAAGAACATAGACTTTGAAAAGTCTGATTTTATTATAGTATATGTCCATGTAAGAATTTGCATGTACAGGCTGATCTTTAGACTAATAACTGCAAAAGAAAGTCTTTCAAAATGCATTCCTTTGAAAAAGCTAAGCTGTCATCGATTCAGTCTGAAGAAGGAGTACAATATTGAGAAGATCCATGTTTATTCCAACAATCATTGGATGTCTGCTTTACAAGAAAGAGGGACCCTGCACTATGGAAAAGCAAAGATCTTTATAGGGCTACAAGGTGGGAAATCCAGGGATCTGACTTGCTAGCTAATTTGGAGTAGCTAGGCAAATTTTTGTTAGTGTATTTGGGATGAGTTCTTTCTATTGTTTGGCAAAATGGGCCTTTCAAGAGGGCAGCAGAATTTCATTTTTGAAGGAGATGGAATGTTAAGTTATTGGTTGATGGAAGATGGAATGATTGCTATGTTGTAGTTTCCTTGTAAGGGCTGCCCTTGGGCTGTTCATGAACTGGTGAGGAAGCTTTTATTCTTTATTTTGATGGGATTGCAGGGGACAGAGAAGGTCAGTTTGAGTCTGATAGGATTAGGGGTTGATCCTGATCATGTCCACAAAGGGAGGAAAAGGGTGCAACTTCATTTTTGTTTGTTAGGTTTATTTTCTCCATACTAACTTCAAAAAGAATAGGTAGGGATCCATAGGACATGCAAACAGAGATTTCTTCTATGCTCATTTCTTTTTTTTTTTCTTGAACAAAAGTATTAGGGTAAAAAAAATGTTAGAATCAAGTACAGTAGGGCTCAGAGTTTTGTATACCCTTCTGAATGTTCAATATTTATGCATAAATATAATCTAAAACATGAGCTGTTCTCGACACAAGTCCTAAAACTAAGCTGAATCAAATAACAACAAACGAGTCAAAAAGGTTTATTTCTTTATTGAGAAAAATGATCCGTAAAGCTACATATTTTCAAGTGTTTTGACTCATTGGTTTCATTGGATTTTCTATTTATCTAATTTTAGGACTTGTATAAATCACCTTTAGGTCATATGTTGATGCAAAAATGTTGAAAATTCAAAAAGGTTCACTAACTTTTAAGTACTACTCTGTAACTAAATGCCACATTTTGTAGAGCTACGGAAGAAATAATCAGCAATTTCAGTTAGATCTGGAAGGTAGCTGATAGGTAGTGCAATGATTTCAAAATGGGTATTGTTCTACAAGAATAAGAGAATTAGAACAAAAACTTAAAAAACAACCCAGACAAACTATTGATGAAAGAATTGTAAGAAACTAAAAAGCAACCAAATCTAATTAAAACAAAGAGTTACAGAAGAAGATAAAATCTGCCTCGAAGAAGAATTTTGAACATATAAATAAAACAGAGAAATTATTATTAACTCAGAAAAAAGAAATACAAAGAATATCAGTAATTAGAAAAGGATCCAATTGTTTCACTGAGGATCAGAAGTAACAGGAGAATTAGTAGTTTTCCTTAAAGAATTAATGCTCTTAAGAGCAATGTTGATGATATTACTCTAAATAAATGCAGTATGTCAAGAAGTTGTTCATCAAAGAATACAATGACCAGTGTAGGCAAATATTAAGCACACCTACAACTGTTGAAGAAACAAAAACTGCAATGAAACAAATTGGAAAAAGCATCAGATTCAGATGGGCTGATAGATCTTTTCTGAATTCTTTATAATACTGAGCTGTCAGAATATTTGCAAATATAATAAAATTAAAGAAACAAAGCTAATACCTCCAATATGGGGGGTGGAAGGCACATATAGCTCTGATTTATACAGAAGGAAATTATCCCGAGAAACTACAATCATATTCAGTAGACGGATTTTCTTGTTACATATAAGTTATAAGATTAAGTTATAAGTTTTTCCCTACAATATTAACTGATAGATTGAAGAAATATATTTCAGACATTGTATAGACTGACCAAACTGGTTTCATTCCTAAAGAAAAACGTAAAGGAGAACAGAACGTTCATAATCAACACCACAGAACATATAAAATTTTTAAAAAGCTATCTTAATTTTCTTAGATTTAGAAAAAGTCTTTAATAATTTTCTGTGGCTATTCATGCTAGCAGTACTGAATAAAATGGATCCCAGAAAAACATTTCAAGCTTCAGTTAAAAGTAGATATGAATGGCAAAAAGCAAAGATTACAGCTCATGGAGTACCCTTACCAGATTTTTCAAGTCAGTACAGGAACAAGGCAAATAAATCCACTCTCTTTGATTTTGCATTAGAAATACTGGAAGAAAAAAAAAAATCTGAGGTGACAAATAACAGGTCTCAAAATCCATGGAGAGAAATATAAGCTCAAATATTATATAGATGATATAGTACTAATACTTACAGAACCACAAATAGAAAAAAAAGCAGTTAATGAACATAATCCATAAATGAGGATATTTGGGATATAAAATATGTTCAGAAAGCAAAAATTATTTTAAGATTTTTATCACAAGAAGGAATTTTCTGCAAACAAAGAATCTGGTGGTTAGTCCATTCAGCAAAATAACTTAGTTTGCATTTACTAGGAAACAGTCAAGAAACGTGTCAGAATAACTGTGTCAAATTATGGCAGTAGATTAAAAAAGATCTTGAAAGGTGGACGAACCTAAAAGTGTCTTGATTAAGATCATTTGCAATAATTCAAACGAATGTTTTACCCAGGATAAATGATCTGTTTCAAATGCCCTAGTTCGAATTTCTGAGAGAACTTGAGGAGAATGGCAAGGTAGCGTCAGTAAATCCATAAGGAGTGGGGAAAGTCCAAAACAAAAGAATCCTGTCTAAAGTAAGAAGTGGCCTTGCGTTCCAGATTTTAAATTGTATTATAAAGCAAGCTGTCTGTCTTGGTTAACAGATTTGTGAAAATTTCTACACAGCAGAATGGCAATTTTGGAAGGAGATGGTTTAGTCCAGGGGTAGGCAACCTTGGCTCTTTTATGACTCGTGGACTTCAACTCCCAGAATTCCTGAGCCAGCCATGCTGAGGGGAAAGGGAGAGGCTTCCAAGATGAGCCATGCTGGCTCAGGAATTCTGGAAGATCACGAGTCATAAAAGAGCCAAGGTTACCTACCCCTGGTTTAGTCAATGATACTTATAGCAGAGAGATACAAAGGAGGACTAAAAAAACATAACAGACAAAGCTTGATAAAACTATGGAAATACATAAAGGCAATAACAAGATCAACATTCTCACCCTCACTTTTCATGGTTGGAGACAACTATAGTAAAAGGGAAGTAAACAGTTCACTTAGTGATTATTCAAAGTTACAACATCACTGAAAAAAGTGACTTGCAATATTTTTCACACTTAACGACTGTTGCAGCATCCCTGTGGTCACATGTTCAAAATTCGAATACTTGGAAACTACTCCTATTTCTGATGGTTGCGGTGTCTTGGTGTCATGTGATCCCCTTTTGTGACCTGACAAGCAAAGTCAATGGGGAAGCCAGATTCACTTAACAATCGTGTTCCTAACTTAACAACTGCAGTGGCAACAAAGGTCATAAAATGGGACAACATTAACTCAGCAACTCTCTCCCTTAGCAACAGAAATTTTGGGCTCCGTTGTGGTTGTAAGTGGAAGGCTACCTGCATAGTCTACTTAGATTCTGTGAATTTAAAAACACAGCAAGAATTCAGAATTATGAAAAGACTCTGAAATCTCTAGCAGTGTGAGAAAGTTGTGAACTCTGTAGAACTATCTCTAATCATAATTTAGACTGAATGAGTTGACAACATTAATTTAGATTCACAATGCAAAACGTGATACGCTGAACACCACTTTAAGAATCCAGTTTATATTTACACATTCCTGTCTAATGCTTTAACACATTACTGTTAACGGGACAGTAGCAAAGAATAATGTTATAATGAAAGGGCCTATCTCCAAATATTTCATTATAATGATCCTTAAAGGCAATAACAATGTGCATTGTCCTGAGAATAATATTAAAAGCAGTGGGACGTTTGAGAGAAGATGCATGTAGAACATCATGGTCAGGCTCCAGAAATGCAGCTCATTGGAATGGTAACAGATAAGCAAGTGGTTTTGATGAAATAAAGGCCTGCTATTCAGAAACTGTTGCTTCATATCAAGGAAAAAATCAGATGCTTAGTCTGAACCTTATTTCTATGAAGTTTTATTATCTTGGAAGTCATTTTTGGGTCATTCATTTTATTTTATCGCAAGTGGGATTGCTTATTTCTTTGAAACATTTATATCCTGTCCTTCATAATTCTTGTCCTAGCCATAACCAGTCATCTGTCTAATCTACACTAACAAAAAATAATATGTTTAAAAAATAGTAAGAAAAACTTATTTTTGTGATTCCGATAAATTATGTGAAAATGTTCTACACGGTTTTTTTGTTTTGCATAACCATGGAAATTTTACAGTTTCTACAAATTATTCTGCTGCTGCTTGCCCTACAGGGGCTGGAATGGGAAAAGAGCTACATAGAACTTTTGATACCATTTATTGGTATTACCTTGATTACTGCTGACCAGATTAATTTTTAATTCACATTTGAAAGTAATCATGTATCTAGGATGAAGGAAAAAATTGAGAGTAGCAGAAGGTTAGCTAGTAGGAATACCTACATGTTTGGCCATAGCAAAATATATAATAGAGTAGTAGATGTATGTATTTTGTACAAATAATTTAGCTACAATTCCTAATTTAGTCTTTAAAATGAAATCAAGCAGAGCTGTAATATAGTACAGACCTCTTGCTGACTTAATTATTGATATTCTTAGAAAAGCATCATTATGATGTGGTTGATGTCCAATGTAAATTCAACTACATCCAGAAATAAGTGTCAAGCAGTTTATTGTATCAATTTTTGTTATTGAAAGAATGGTAGGTTGTGATTATTGGATATGTCATCTCATTCTTCAAGAAAACCAATATTTCTTTTTAAAACAGCATTCCTTTTAAGATAGAAAAGTTGATGCACTCTATCTTTACAAGAGATGGGGAGATACAGGCAGCAGTTAGGATTCAATCCTTAAAGCTCCATGTGAAAGGATTGAGAGATGTGATTTGTTAGCTTTGGATTAGGGCAGATGACAAGCAGCCTCACTGTTGACCTTGAATCCTGTTTTGACAACTTCCAATGTTTCTTCAAATTCATCCTCAAACTTTGATTTACAGCGGTCTCAAAAAGTTGTATTATAAGGCTTAATACAGTTAAAACTAAATAATGACGTACCCAAGTTCCCAGAACGAAGAGAAAGAGGCTCGATTATTTGCCTGGTAGGGTCTTAACTACTTAGTCTCATTGTCCTACCTGAAATAAGCTTTACTGTGCTCAAAAGGTTAAATAAAGACTCTGGTCACTTAAAGTTTCCCTCACCTAATTTTTAGCACATGGCGTGGTCCAACCATTGTGTCCTAGCTACCTTATTTACTTAATGGCTTTTTGCTTGTAGTGTTAATTCAGTCATTGTGATTTATTTGTAAGCTATAAGTAAATTATGGTTTAGCCTAACATGTCATCTCAAACTTTGAGCATCTGGGCATTTTAAACAGTAATGTAGCAAATATGTGCACCATTCAGTCCTGATTAATGGGAAAATATGCAGATGCACACAGAAATTAGACCTACAGAAGTAGATTTTACCACAAGAATAGTAAAGGGAACTACTTTTCTTCCAATAGATCCTGTCCCTCAAAATCTTCTGTGCCTGGGTTAGAATTTGGGAGAGCTAACAGATTTTTATGTGTTTGTGTTTGGTTTAAATAGCAAAGCCCAGAGAAGTATCGTGTTTTTATGTATACTGAGCCAATTAATCTTGCATGCCAACAAAGAAAGGGAGTGTTGTGTGAGAAATATAATTTTTAATAAAGGGTTAGATACTAGGAAGTATTTAGTGTTTTGCACTAGATCTACACAAAATTGCCTTGTCTTACAGAAGTAAATGAAAATGTTTCTAGGTAAAATCTCTTCTGACTTTCTACCACCCATTTTTTTAGAATGTTGTATTTGACTTTGAGAAAGAATAAAGAAGAGGAAAAAAAAATAATGTCTTTAGTTGTAATTTTTTTTCACTCAACATCATCCCTCATCCCTTCCCAGTAGGGTGAACGCCTTATTTTTCCTGTGTGTGGATTTCTAGCTTGTGTGGGAAGTTGCCCCAGAAGATTTTACACTAAATATGCACATGTTTACTTTCTTTCCAGTTCATTGTTTCAGTATAATTTGAGCATCCATAAACATAACTACTTTTGAATTCAGATCGTTCATACATGTATTTGTGAAAATGGTTCTGCTTTCGTGATTCCTTACTTTTTGTAGTGGATGCTGATGCTTGGAACAAATTGTAGTTGCTGTCTTGGGATTTTAAAGGCAGATGGCAGAGTTCCATTTTGAAACATTGAGGAGATTTCTTTCACTATTAGTAGTAGGGGAATTGTTAATAGGTCTGTTTCAAAGTACATTTGAAACACAAGCACCCATAGTTACTATGGTGAAGAAATGTGACTCTTAACAAATTCCTAATAATCCGCATTAGTTTCCTGAAAGGTAGGAAGGATTTTATATTATGTCTTTTAGCAGCATCAACATTGGGGCATCAGTCTTAGATCAGAAAAGATGCTATGCCTTACTTGGAGTAAGAGCATAGATGTTCGTGGATATGCAACATTTAATTGGGGTATGAATATAAGTCTTTTGACTAATGATTTTATCCTGAGAGGTTGTCAAATCTATTGTGTATTTGAAATGAAGTCTCAACAGGTCTGTAGCATTAAAACCTCACAGGTTAAAAAAATGATTCTTGGTGTGGATATCTTCTCTGGATTCAAAGTGCTGTGCATCTTATAAAACCACATTTGTCCTTCGTGGAGATGGTAGATTGCCAACCAAGTCTGCTATAGAAGGAGTACATCAACTTGGGCAAGAGTGAATAAGAGCGCTCTCAAAATTGTGTAACAAACTCAAACATCTCACCCAGAGAGCCCTCTCTTTGAAATCTAAAAAAGGTTTAGCCTTAATATTGGCTATAGTTTCTGGATTTCCAACTAACATTCTTTTTTATTTTAAAACCATATATCCTTCCAGGAAGGATTGTTTTGATAGGGAAGCTGTCCGTGATAAATTTAGATATGTAACACCATATAGCATTCCATTTGTTCTCTTACTCTGCAGAGGAAATTCTTCTTTTAATCTACTAAATCATTTTTAATTGTCAGGTATGGAAACTTAACTGTAATTTTAAAAGCTTTTAGTAAAACGAACAAAAATAATTGGTCTGACCACATATTTGTTTTGTAGCGATGTCCTTGCCTTGCCCATCTTTAAGCAAGAAGAATCCAGCTTGCCTACTGACAATGAGAACAAAATTCTGCCCTTTCAGTATGTTTTGTGTGCTGCCACTTCTCCTGCTGTAAAACTTCATGATGAAACTCTCACTTATCTTAATCAAGGTAAGCTATATTTCTGTTTTGCATCAATACCAGGTGGGAAAAAGGCTGCTTTATAGTTTTGGGTTCGTATCAGTGTAAGTTGGCTGCTCAAACCAATGTTAATAAAAGCTAAAATCCCAACAGGAAGGGGGAACAACGAACAGTAGGGTTTTTTTAAATTGAATTGAAATTCTTATATGCCATTATCCAGTAAAACTCTCAAAGCATTTTAAGCTTAAAAAAATAAGTTGGAAATACAAGAATCCTAGACATGAGTATTTGATGTGATTCATGGGCTTGGAAATACCTGACAAAGCAGTGCAATTGCCTAACAATGTGCAGTTTATAATCTCTCAGTCAGCTTAGCTTTGGTTACTGTCAACTGAACTTCAACTTTGATAAACTTTAATGTATGTGATACTTTTTGTATTAATCTAACTTTCGGCACTCCTCACATATTTATGCAGTTAATTTGAAAAAGATAAGTGATAATTACGGTAAGTGAAAAATGTTACTGACATGTTAGCTGTAAACAGAATTTATTAGAAATGTCATTCAGTTAACACGACTTGGACTCAGCTGGATCAACCTATATAGTATCTTGTAATTGAATAATTGTAACTGGAGAGGTAAAAGGAGATTAATTGATATCCCTGTTTTTACATTTCTCGTAGTTTAGTACAGTTCAGTGTAACATTACTGACTGTCATATTTCAAGTTATTTCTGGTTTAATCAAGTTCAGACCTAAAGAAATAGATTATTCTAAAAGAAGTATATAGTGATACAGATATACTTTCACACAGAATGGCCCTTTTTCATTGCTTCCTATACATTATGGGGACACTTATGCTTGATTTTTCTTATTGACTGAGACAACAAATCCTTTTTTTGTAAAATCATAACTGCAAATATATTTTCTTTTTCAGGTCAGTCTTATGAAATCAGAATGCTGGATAACAGGAAAATGGGGGAATTGCCTGAACTAAATGGAAAGCTTGTAAAGGTATGTAACAATCTGTCTTCTCCCAAAATATGTTAGAGAACTTCATCAGATTTCCACAAACATTTTGCCAGGTAATAAATGATACTAAATTATGCAAAGTGATGCAATCACTTACACCATTCTAGCAAATCCTGGTATTAACGTTAGGAATGGCAATTTACTGAGGAGCAAAATGAAAGATTAGCGGATGATAAATTATGTGGATAGGCCACTGATGAATGAGAAGTCCTTGCTATTCAAAGCATAAATATTGCAAAGAATAAATAAGGTAGAGGAAATGTGTATCTCTTAGAATGTTAGATTTCACTGAATCTTCCAAAGACATAACAGTTAAAACGATTGTCAGATGATCTTGAATCAAGATTGTGAATGTGTGGCTTGCTACAGTTTAGTAGTATAGTAACTTGCAGAGGGTTTTTAAGAGGGATAGCAAAATAGCATAAAATACAAGTGGGGCACTCTTTTTTTCACTATAACACTATTTTTGCTTTGCATGAAGTTCAGGAAGCAGTAGAAGATTCAGCATCAAAGTAAGATAGAAGAATAAATCCAGTTGTAAGCTTGCTTTATGTTTGCCAAACATATGCAGGAAAATTTAGTAATGCTTAGACAACAAAAATGGCAGGTACAAATATTCTTTATCTATAGCTAGAAGACAAATGGAAGTAATATACAGAGTAAGAAAATCTCCCCATTGCAATCCCCTTAGTTTTAGATTCAGGTTTTTTGAGCTAAACACACACTGCCTTGGATAGCGAAAGTATTTATTTAACTAACTTAGTAAACTTCTGACCTTTGAAGTCTCTTGGCCGTTAAGAATTAAAATAGACTTAAATCCAATATTTTAAAATAGTTAAAATAGCAATGTAAATTTATCATTCCAGTAAAAATAATTATAAGTAAAATGTATTATAAGGTTTTTTTTAAAGCTAATGAAGTTGACAGGTCCTTAAACCTTTTGGGAAGTACACTTGAAAGAACTGAGGTGGCAACAGAGAAGGCTTGACCCCGGGACCTCCAAATCAGCTTGCAGGAACTGCAGAGGGAGTTCAGTAAGGTTACTGTAGAAAAAAAGATTTCTCAGATAGGTTGTACCTAATCCACATAAGGTTTTAACAATATCTACCACATTATAATTTTTTTCTGGGTATCAGCAGGCAGCCAGTTCAGTATTTTTCAACCCAAATGTATTATGCTCTCTGCATTTTTACTAACGCCAGCCTGGTTATTGGTTATTCCATGTTAATGGAATTTATAACATTAACCTGCAAATTTTCCTAAGATAGAATGATATTCTGGACAAAACACACTAGCATGGAAGGTACACGAACATTTTCAATATGCTGTAAACAATTTCTTAAATACCTAGGTAATCATGGCTTTGTTTTAAATTATATAAGTAACTGTCTTTTGCTTTCTGGCTATAGCTCATACTTATACTGCTGTGAAAATATTTTTCACAGCAGTAACATTTTATATGTCCCCAGATTTTTATATTAATAAACATATTCATTTATTAATATAAAAATCTGGGGACATATAACGTCACTGCTGTGAAAAATATTTTATTCAAAGAATACTGTTTTGTAACCGTTATGTAAATTCAACAGAGCCAGTTTGGTTTAGTGCAGCGGTTCTCAACCTATGGGTCGTGACCCCATTTGGGGTTGACCGACCATTTCACAGGGGTCGCCAAGCAAGGCTGTCTGCCACTTTTTTCCCCTTTTCCGGCGGGTGCCTTACCTCCCTTGGGCTGGGCCAGCTGGTGGCCCAGCTGGTGGTCAGCCTGCTCCATCTCTGCCGCTTGCCAGCTACGCCTTGGCCAGCGCAGGGGGCGGCATCACACATGCGTGGCGCTCCCGGGCAGGGAAAGTCCTGGACTTACGACCGGTTGGGTAGTCCTCGACTTACGACCATTTAGTCCTCGACTTACGACCGTTTAGTCCTCGACTTACAACCAGTTGGGGGTTGCGGCATTAAAAAGGTTGAGAACTACTGGTTTAGTGGTTAAAGGCATCAGACTAGAAACCAAGATATTAAAGGTTCAGACCTGCCTTACACCCAAAGCCAACTGGTTGATTTTGGGGCAGTCACTCTCTGTCAGCCCTAGGAAGAAGTTATTGACAAACTACTTCCAAAAATCTTGTCAAGAAAACTACAGAGATGTTGTCCAGATGATTGCCAGGAGTCAAGATTGACTCAAAGGCGCACACACAAAGATTAATTAAATAGTAGCTAAGATAGGTGATAACAGATGAGTACTACATGTAGTATTTTTCTTGTGTGAAAGTATAGTCCATCCAGATATATTATTTATGTTGCTAACGTAAATACCGCATTTTTTAGAATCTGGAAATCTAAGCTTTTTGGATTTTTTTCAATTATCACATTTTGGATCCTGATCTAGAGTGTGGATTCATTATATCATCTACTATTGAATAATAATGATAGTTTCCCTCCTCTGAATACTGTGACAGTTTCTAGCCCTTTGGCCTCTGGAGTGCTTAGAAATCATGAAAGTATTGTGCCTTGGGGATGCTCCCTATAAGAATAACCTTATTGGAAATCTTATTTTGTTGTAGTAGCTGGTGCTGAATTACAAGGCACATTCAAATAAATCACACAATACGTATCTCTCTGTGGGAATATTGAATTATGGCAAATAATCATGAAAGTACAGGTCACTCTTAGGTTACAATCGCTAAGCAATGCAGTCATAAAGAGCAATTCACATGACTGCATTGTTTAGTGATGGCCATCCTGACAGTCCCAGTTACTGTCATAATCATTGGACTGTGTCTATTGTTATGCAAGAAAAGGTGGAAGTCCCAGGCATGTTGAAAGCTACATGTGGGTAAGAGAGGTACTGCTAGCAGTGCTATTGAGTGCAGGTAGGTGATGGGGTGCTGCATGCAGCCACTATGGGGGGCAGGGGCCTGCCCACTCTATGCTGTGTCAGACACTACATAGAGTGGGCAGGCCAAAGAAAGGCTGGAGAGGGAGTAACTTCCAACTTCCTGTTGGCTTCCCCATTGCCTTTGCTTGTAGGAAGCTGGCAGGGAACATCAGAAATGGCCTACCCGTGATCGTGGCTTGTGGCAGTATTTTAATTGTGAGCCAGGCACCGAGTGCCCAGATTGCAATCACATAACCAGAGGACACTGCCCCAGCTAGAATTCTGAGGACTGGTTTTAAGTCCCCCTGTTGCTTTGCAGCCCTCCCAATTCTATTTGGATTACATTGCTAATTATTATTTAATAATATTATATTTCCATGAAGCAGAAAGAATTAAGTATATGCCTTATAGGATATTATCCATACTGATGTACAAACTCTCTATATACCCTTAGAAAATGAAAGCGGTTGCCAGGAGAAATCATAGCAATTGATTTGCCAAAAAAACAGTCAACAAAAGAAATAATTTATGTGTTCAGGAAGAATAACGAACCTTTTTACTTTAGAACCTGTACCATATGATTAAGAACTGTCATTCTCTATTGCTATAGAGAACTGTCACAATTTCGAATGGTCAATTTTGAGTGGTGGTAATCTGAGGACTACCTGTAAATTGTAATTCAAATGTCTTGGATAGAACAACCACTCCAAAGCAAAACCTTTTAGAGGAGCCTATTCATGCATTTCCTTGACTCATGTTTAGCAGTTGATTTAGAAGCATATTTGAACTAATCCTTGGGGAAATTTAAAACCTTTTCACACATTGCTGTAGTATTCTGCTTTAGATTGCAATGCAGTGTGGAAGTGAATCTTGGCTTTGTGTATCTTTTGCCATAAATAGAAACATGAATGTGAATTGACTGTTGATGTTAGTGTTAAGCTAAATATTTTCCATTCATCAGTGTTATGGTAGGTGGACCTTGTGAGGGCATATCTTTGGATGAAGCTCCCAAGAATCATCTCTCTGATCAAGGATTGATTTTTTTTTAAACCGGCTTGCATTGACATATTAATTATAGTCAATGGGAAGTTTTTTTGTTTCTTAGAGTATATTTAGAGTGGTGTTCCATGATCGGCGGCTGCAGTACACAGAGCATCAACAGTTGGAAGGCTGGAGGTGGAACAGGCCAGGAGACAGGATACTAGATATTGGTGAGTGTTTTTGGTAAATCTGGACTACTATTATGTTACAGCTTTGGGAAAGCATTGTCTTTACCTGCTTACTTTCCATTATTGCTTTTGGAAAGTAGTTTTTGTCTTTGGTTTACATCACCAGAACTTACATTATTTTCCCATGGAAGATTTGTTTTTGATTGCTTGGACAGGCTACCTTGAGTGGTTTGCTCTCTAAACAATTTTTTACCACAATCCTGTGCTCCGTTCAGGCTGCATTGTAGCTTGTATCACATTGTTTAGCCAGTTGTGGCTAAAATCCTTTCCTCGCAGAATCAGAGAGCTTTTTAATTGGTTTTTTTTTTTTTGCTTCATATTCCTGTACTATTAATCAGTGGAAAGCTGCTTTAAATCAGGAAAGCATATCTTCTTTCACTCATGTATTCCCCTAATGATTTAATTCATCAGAGTGTTCTAGAAACCAAGTAGATTACATTTCTGAGTAAAGGATTCCAGTGTTTCTAGTGAAAATTAAGACCTGTGTAAAATTCCTAAAAAGTTTGTCCCCTGTCTCCTTTTTTTTTTAACATAGATGTGTTATGTAATCAATTGCTTTTGTTTTTATTTGAGAGTGACTTGAGGAAAATGTCCTTCCAAGACCTCTGCATACTAGAAATGCTGAATCTTTGCTAGCTGTCCATTAAGAAAAAAAGAAAAGAAAAATACTGGTTCTTATTTATATATTGAAATCAGAGAATGGAAATGTGAAAAAGTCTTGATACGTTGGAGGAAGCAGATAGTGGATATCTTCCAGGGTTCGCACATGGGATTTTAATGCATCCGAGTTATTGTTTTTCACTCTTCTATGATTAGAAGAGCGCCTTGGCACACATTTAAATTGTGCAACAGATGCACCCATTCCTAAGCTAATGCCTTCATGACCTCTCATTTGGATTACTGCAACACAGTATACATGGGGCTACCATTGAAAAGTATTCAGAAGCTTCAGCTGGCACAAAATGCGGCTGCATTGGTTGGAGTTTGCATCACCTCTATTGTGTGAGCTGTATTGCTTGCCTGTGGTGTTTATGGGTGCAATTTAAGGTACTTTAAAGCCCTTCATGGCTTGGGACTGGGCTACTTGAGGGGCTGTCTTCTCCCATTTGTTTCTACCAGTCCAGTTTGGTCCAGCAAGTTGGGCATGCTACAGGTTCCATTAGCCTAGGAATATTGGCAGGCAGGGACTAGGAGACATACCTTCTCTGCCAGGGCATCTGCCATCTGGAACAGTCTCTTCAGAATTGAGGGTGACCCTAAACCTGCTGGCTTTTAATAAGAACTTAGGCCCAAAGTGTGTGAAGGGCCCCATTTCCTGGCTATATTGACAGCTATGACACATATATATTTGTGCTATGTTGTAATTGTTTTAAATTGATTTTATGTTTGTTCACCAGTCACTTGTTTATAAAAATTGCATAATTCATATAGGTCACAGGTGCATATCTATGTGTGCTTCTTAATATAAAGCAGGATTAAATAACCCATTGCTCTTCAGACTTCCGTCAGAACCAGTCAACATGACTATGTCAAGGAATCAAAGGCCAAAATATCCCTACATTGCTAATCCTGAAGTACAGTTCATATATAGACTAGTCTCTATATCTTCCAAAATCTTCTATATCAGCGTTTCTCAACGTTTGTGTGACGGCGACCCCGTCACACAAGCGCGGCGCACATGCGCGGTGGCGCCCCCATGCGCGGCGCGCATGCGTGGTGGCGCCCCCTGAGGGGGGAAATGGCAGATCGCATTGTTTGGCGACCCCCGTAAAATGGTCGATCGACCCCAAATGGGGTCATGACCCATAGGTTGAGAACTGCTGTTCTATATGAACTAGTACTATTATCTGGATGGAGCTTATGTAGCATCAAGTTCATGACCAAACTCAATAATACACATTTATATAATTACTAACAACACAACGGAATTACTGTACGAGGAAGGCAACAAAAGAGCATGGGAGAATCTCTTGGAGTCTTTGTAAGGATGGAATGAAAAATGGGACGTTGATCTGTTCTTCCCTTCAGTTCTTTTTTACTTTAAGGAATGTTAGATTATCTCGGATGAATTATTTGGTTACCTCAATGTCATAGATCATGTCATGATAATATATCAAAGTTTGGTATTCTCTGTCAACTCAAAATGTTCTTTTTCATTATTGTTCCATGGTCATTTGAAATTCAAGGATTTTATTAAAATGATTTCAATAATTTTCTATTCCTTCTTAATTTGGCTTGGAATATCTCTGTATTGTATTGGTCTTGCACATGCCCGTTTTTCAGGTTATTTCCCAACTTTTTAACCCTTTTTTCTCTTACTATTAATTTAGGTTATAGTTATCCTATAGCATAAATGTCTGTGCCTTCAATTCAATTTTGATTCTTGCCAACTATCTGACCTAGTCCCTGCAGTTTTCTTGCCAAGATTTCTTAGAAGTGGTTTGCCCTTGCTTCCTTCCTAAGTCTGAGAGAAAGTCGCTGGTCTAAGGTGAACCAATTGGCTTCATTCCTAAGGCAGGTCTAGAACTCACGGTCTCCCAATTTCTAGACTGATACCTTAACCACCAAACTGGTTCTCTTATAACTTTGGTCACTCATAGAAGTCTTCACTTGAACTGAGGCACAGGGAATGGCCAAAAAGATAATGCCTATAGTTCAATTAAATCATACATACAATTAGCTTGGTAAACTATTTTGCTTTCAATTTGTCCCTTGCCCTGCATTCTGTCAAACTTGCTAATTCCAACATTCTTAATTGTTTTACTTGTGCATGAATATCATAGGTAGTTTCCTATTCAGCAAGATTGTTGCTTGTGGGTACAGTTCATATTTTGACTGTAGAGTCTTGACATTAGTTGTTACATCATTTTTGCTTGAGCTTGAATGGACCAGTTAAGTGTTATGTGCTAATGTGTGGCTATTTTTTGTTGTCTTTAGATATTCCAATGTCTGTGGGTATAATAGATCCCAGAGCAAATCCAACACAGTTGAATACAGTAGAGTTTCTTTGGGATCCTTCAAAAAGAACTTCCGTATTTATTCAGGTAAATCTAGAAGAGTCATTTTTTTTGTAACAAGTTTTATTGATTTTTCAATTTTTACAACCAAGTGATTAGGAAACATTGTGGAGATAGGGTAATCCATAGTCCAATAACAGAGTCATTCATGTAAGTCAAAGATTACATCATTAAAAGTTCCCTCTCTATTTCCCTTAATTATTGTATCATATTCAATTTGATACATTTCTTAATAAAGCTCAATCAATCAATACATTTATAAATACAATTTTAGTTATAGATATCCAAGTCCTGATTTTGAGTTTTACTTAATTCCAATTACCATTTTCAAATTTAGCCTTTAATAACCATAATGTTTAAACTTCGGGTAGCCCTCATTTCATTACAATGTGATTATCACAGCTAAAGTATACATATTATTCCCAAATTTAAATTCTTGTCTTATTTCACTAATAAATACTATTTCTCATCCTAATAACTCCTCATACTGATAACATATATTTTATTATCACAAACCCATTTCCATATAACAATTCAACACTATAATCTAAAAGTTAATTTTCATTTCCATTATAAATCTAAATACTAAGTATTAAATCAGTCAGTATATCTAAAGCCTTCTTAACCCATTAGGTGGAATTTCAAAACCCACTTTTAAATTTATCTCTGGCTTTCTTCTTGTGCCAGGCAGGTTTCCATACCAGTGCCTTTGAATCCTCCGATATGTCTCCCTTCATTTCCACACATGCTGTTTGAATCAAGGGAGAACATCCAGTTATCAATTTTTCAAAGGAACTGGCCCTTTTGTAGTTATTAGGTTGTTGTCCTAATAAGTCAAGTCTCCATATTTGGTTTAAAGTGTTTGTGATCAATTCAGTCTGGTCTGTTGTCATTGTTATTTGCTTGTCTAGATTGTCAAAGTTCTCAGTATATTGTAGTTGTTGTTCAGTTCCTGTTGCTTTAAGAATTGCAGGTACTTTGGTTAAAGTCAGTATTTGGTCATCAAAGTTCTCAATAGATTGTATATATTGTTGCACAAAATCCTCTTTAATGATGGGTTGTTCCTCTAGAAGAGTCATTTTTGTGAGATGGACAGCCATATAAAGATTGATTGAGATTGAGATAGATAGATAGATAGATAGATAGATAGATAGATAGATAGATAGATAGATAGATAGATAACATATAGCAAGCAAAGTATTGGTTGATTTATTCTTGTAAATTTATGTATTTTTTATAAGAATAATGTGTTGTGCTACCATGCATATAATGTGACATCATCTCTTTAAGTGTACATAGCGAAGGAACATGATAACCTTTGAATGGTTATCATGTCCTGATGCTTGGAGTACAAGACAACAGAACATAGAAAAGTGCTATAGATAGAACATGTATCATTAAATTTGATTGTGCTTTGACTGAAATATTCTAATCTAGTTACCATGTAACCTTCTATACCCCCATCACAACAATACATTCACAGTTTCTTATTTTTCCCACTTTTGGGGTTGGGTTTCCTATTATCGTATTTAAGTTAGAGATTCTGCAATGCTATTGTTTGTTTAATTAGGATTTGTAGAATATTTATTCTGTGGCTACAACTGGGGAAATGCACATCAAACTCACTATAATGCAATGTGTAAAAACCTCCTCCTATCCTTCGCTTTGATGTAATTTTGGACAATGAATGGCTGAATATAATTTAAGGATTCATGGTTACAGTGCTTTAATTCAAGACAGTGTTGCTTTTGTTTTAAGATCAACTTCTTCATCAGAAATGGTGAAGGTCCCTGGAAATGCTTGAAGCTTCAATAAATGTTGATGAGAAGTTCATAAACTAAACAATAATGCTACCCAGCTATCAAAACTGGGAAAGCTACCATTCATTTTATGACGATTTGAGAGAGGAGCTTATCTACTGTAATTTAATCCAATCTACAGGACAAATATTAGGAAGGGGGAAGAAAATATCAGACCTTTTCGGAAGGACAGACATACTCCCTTTAGGCAATTGAGAAATTTAGAACTGACATAGATATAATAGCTGATCCATTGTTGATCCTTAAACTCTAAGGAATATTGCAGACTCCCTTAGCTTTACACCTTGTTGATGTAAGTAATTATTAGAAGCGTGGTATCAAAGCTATGAATTGCTGAACTTTCCTGCAGAGTTCATAGGTGAACCATGAAATGAATTTATTTCTGAATCAGAAGCTAATATTCATCATGCAAACTCTCAATCCGAATAATGTGTCCCCAGAGCAACTCCCTTGATGATATTCCTGAAATTATGCAGTGTGCCTTTTGCTGCTGCTGTTTCTTTTTTTCATCTTAAGAACTTTTCGTTGTAGATCCCTTATTTTTCATGGGTAACACACACACACACACACACACACACACACACACACACAATGCCTTCCAGTGTCCTAAGAGATTTGTGCTTTCTTTATTTTACACTATTCACATATCCTTATGTCAGGGAAAAAAGAATGTTTCCCTTTCCATTCCAACATAAATGCGTACTATTTTTACAAATAAAAGCTTTATACATGCTGATTAGAATTATTATTTGTTTAAAAAAGATTAGAAGCTTCTAAATAAAGCAAGAACAGAATAACCCAGTCTATTTTCCTTGCACTTTAAAACAATATTTTCAGTGTGGTGGATTTGGGGAATGTGTTCCTTTTCCTTATTTCTTTATCACAATTAAAATATTAACTTAGTTCATACATCTATACAGAGCCAGAATTTTAAACCAAGGTGTATTAAAGTGGTCTGAACCACACAAACATTTCGTAGCCACAGTAGTGAATTGAAACATCCCATTAAGCCAGAAACTAAAATTCCTCATTATGGCTTAGCACAATGTCTTAAGTCACTCAGTAAAAGAACCCTTATGTTCCTTTCTCCTTGGATTGGCTGCTTCTTTCTTTCCTTGCTCAATTTCTCTCCTCTTCCCAGTGAAAATAGTGCTCTCTCCAGATTGCAGTCATGGCTTCATACCATTGTTAGCATTAACTGCTAACATTGAAAGAAATCATTGTGTCTAAGGCTGAGGAGAAGAGATACATCTCAGCCTGATGTCTTCCAGATCTTTTAAAAGATATCAAATCGGATATATCCGGTTGAAGTACATACAGGTTGTCCTCGACTTACGACCACAATTGAGCCCAAAATTTCTGTTGCTGACTGAGACAATTGTTAAGTGGGTTTTACCCCATTTTACGACCTTTCTTGCCACAGTTGTTAAGTGAATCCCTGCAGTTGTTAAATTAGTAACACAGTTGTTAAATGAATCCGGCTTCCCCACTGACTTGGCCTGTCAGAAGGTCACAAAGGGTGATCCTGGGATACCGCAAACATCATACATACAAGTCCATAGCCAAGCAGTTGAATTTTGATTGTGTGACCGTGGGGATGCTGCAATGGTCGTAAGTGTGAAAAACTGTCATAAATCACCTTTTTAGGTGCCGTTGTTAACTTTAAATGGCCACTAAATGAACTGTTGTAAGCTGAGGACCACCTGTATTTTCTTACTGCATACTTTACTAAAAAATAACTTGACTGCACTTAAGTTTTAGAAGAGAAATAAACGACATATTTTGATGTATCCCAGGTCTGATTCCCGTTCTCGTCCATTGTTGTTCTGCATTTTCTTTTGAGGGACGCGCACATATGGTTTCTACCTAGATGTCAAATATGGTGTATTAAAAACATTTTTTTTTTAAAAAAAAATTGTTGGTCAGGTCTGATATTTTGCCAGGTTGGTTTAAACCAATGGTTCTCAACCTGTGGGTCGGGACCCCATTTGGGGTCGAACGACCATTTCACGGGGGTCGCCAAACAACGTAGTCCGCCATTTTTTTCCCCTTTTCCTTAGCTGTGCTACTCCCTTTTATTCTATTGGCTTTTGAAAGCCAATAGAATAGACTCTCTTGAATAGAGTCTAATTCTATTGGCTTTCAAAAGCCAATAGGAATTGTCCAGGCTGTCTCTGCCCTGCTGAGCCCGCCAAAAGTCCCATTATGCAAACGGTGTTGCACCAGTTGAGTAGTCCTCGACATACGACCGGTTGAGTAGTCCTGACTTACGACCAGTTGGGGGTCGCGGCATTAAAAAGGTTGAGAACCACTGGTTTAAACCCTTCTTTGAGAGAAGGCAACTATTAACTCTTCGCAGGAAACACCTTTTTTTCCTATGACTTCTTTATGTGCCTGCAATCTTGGTTTGCTGTGCAGATAGAATCTCAGGCTTCGTTAGAACTTACTTAGACATACACAGAAAGTTTGATTTATTTGTCTATGTTGTACGAGCATCACTATTGCACTATTGCAGTTTGGAGCATATTTTTGGGTCTCTTTTTCCAGGTACATTGCATCAGTACAGAGTTCACTATGAGGAAGCATGGTGGAGAGAAAGGTGTGCCCTTCAGAGTCCAGATCGACACCTTCAAGGAAAATGAAAATGGGGAATACACTGAGCATTTGCATTCTGCCAGTTGCCAGATCAAAGTCTTCAAGGTATACCTGTGTTTTAAGATAGATAATGCAGGGACAAGAGCTGGGGAGAACAGATCCTTAGCATTCTGCTGCTATAAAAAAAAAAGCCTGTAGGAGTTAAATTATTTCATAAGAAGGCAAAACAGGATTGTGGCATTTCCGATCTACATGTTGTTACTCAGGCCTTTGTGGGGGGGGGGGGGCTCTTAAATTAAAATTTTGCTGTCAGTAATAAAGATGGCAGGGCTATCTGGCTAGACAGGTAGACCAATTAACTGACATAACAATTGTTTTCTTCTGTTGCCCTCCATCTTGGATAGAAATCTTTTTATCTAGTTCATCACTCTCCATCACATCCCCAAAGTATGTAAGCTTCTATTTACTGGTCATTGCTTCAAGAGCAATTATTTGTTTTGCTCAGCAATGATTAACTGCTTATCCTTGTAGTCCGTGGTCCTATTAGTGGTTATTTCCACATCCATAATTTGAAGATGTCTTTATCTTTTTTCAACCACCCAATTCATATGTCCATTTTTCTCACACATCTATTTCTAATGGAAATATCATTGCCTTAACTATTCTGATATCTCTTCTCATAGAAATATTCTTACCTTTCATGATTTTTTTTAGTTTTTTATTGCTTCCACTCCCATTCCCAATAAGATTAATTTTTTTTATTCTGTAGAACACTGTCCATCCTAGTTGTTGAGGCCAAGGAATCAAAACTACTGCTATTGCTTCTTTGCTATCAACTGTGAGTTCTCTAAACTTGCTGACTGACGTAATCTTTTCTTTCTTAATATTTATTATTAGTTCAAATTTTTCACTAAATATATATGTGAGAAATATGCATCCCTTTTTTCTCTCTTCCCTATTCTGAACTGCTGTTTTTCTAAATTTAATTATTACAGTAACCTCTTTATTATCATTCAAGTCGGTGTCCTGGCACCCCTTTGTCCATAATATATTCCACTATTCAGGCATGATTTAATGTTCAAAAACGCTTTTCTGTAGTGTAAAGTAAACTGCGTTAAATTCTTCTGCTTGCTTTATTGTCCACTTTATGTTGGCTATCTGATCTCATATTCTTCTGTCTTTTCTTAAACCTGCCTATTCATTTGGCATTTCTTTCTTTATATATGGCTCCATTCTTCATTAGAAGATCTTAATCAGAACTTAACGTTACTGTTGCTAAAGTTACAACACTGGAGAGTAACTTTGCTTAAATTACCGTTTGATTTTGGAAAGATTTCAGATTTATCACGTTAGAGTGTCGAAATGTGTTCATTTGATTTTCATTCTCTAACTATGTATTGGAAAAGACTGTTAAAATTTAATGAAGGATTTTAAAATTATGTTGAATAATTTCTTATATGAAACATGCTTTTGGTATTTTTTTTAATCTGTTGCCTTTCTAATTTCTTTTTTCTTCTCTCTTACATCCTTTTATGTATGTTAATAAAACTAGTACATTTATATGGAAAAATAGAGAGACGATTTGTTAGTCCTTTCAAAAAATGGTGACCGGATGGCTTTTTCTACTTCAAACAATATATAAAACAACGCAGGGAGATTTATTTTATGACTTAAAAGCATGAACATGGAAGGCGAGTTGGCAAAGAAAGAAAGCTAGAATAAGCCTGAAGAAAATTGCGGTTTTGACTTATCAGTGAGAATTAAAATAGAACATATTCAAATAGATAAGATGTGTATTTTGAACACTAGATTTTGTTATGAGCTGAGATAAAGAAAACTTTGTTCATTTATAACTGGTAGTATAAATATTAATAGTTAAATTTGAATATTGATTTGCTTATAAAGGTTGAATGTAAAAGTAATTAAGATATATATAAGCTAAAAATCTACTGATGAATGTAATATGTTTTTACTTAGCTGTTATAATAAAAAGCCTAAATATGAGATAGTAGATATCAAGAGAAAAAGAGAGGAAGTATTAAATTTCAAAATAAGAAATTTTGGTTACTAAATTTGAGACATTTGGAGATTAATAGAAAATAAGAATGTTATACTGTATTATTAATTAGTTGATGTAAGATGGTGAGAAATAGAATATATTCAAATAGATAAGACGTGTATCTTGAACATTAGATTTTGCGATGAATTGTGATAAAAGGAACTGGTTATTTAAAACTTGGAAATTATAAATATTAAATGTTACATTTAAATATTAATGGGAAACTAAAAATTGGGAAAAACTAATTAGGACATTGATTGTCTATAAAGATTGAATGTTAAAATAACTAGGATATGTATAAACTAAAATTATTGATAAACGTAAGAAAGTTATTTTTATTTAATAAATATAATAAGAATTGTATTAGTTTAAATATGAGACAGTAAATACTAAGGGGAAAGGAGAGGAAATATCTAATATAGTAGTTTGAGACTTGTACTAAAGATACTTGTATGTTATTGAATTATCGATCAACTCAGCTGCCACGTTGCTTTTTAAATATTTAAATGTAAAATTAGAAAATCAATAAAATTATCCTATGCAGATAATCCTGTATTTGCAAGTTCTTCAATTTTTCCAGCTTCTGCATTCTAAATATCTATTAATAATACAGGTAGTCCTTGACTTATGACTAGTTATCTAACAACTGTTCAAAGTTAAAGTTGCAACACCTCAGAAAGGCACGTAAAGCACTTCTGGCCATCTTATCTTATTATGCTCCATTTATAATGCTTTAATATTGCTTCGACAGTTTCAATTTTCTCTTGATTTATGGTTTTAATGTTCCATGTTCCTATTGCATTAGTCCTTTATAAAAAGCCGCCCTCTTTCATTATGATGGCCCCATCAGTGACCAGAAGCCCTTGTGGTTTTGATTTGATCACATCATGCCATTCCAGATTTTCTTGAGAAAGTTGAGTGTTCTTCCTAAGTAACTCAAGCAATGTCCTTCAGTGTGGTGCTCTTACAATATGACAGCCAAATTTATACATGTTTCAGTTATGTCTACACAGTTTCTTGGCAACAATATACAAAGGATTTGCCTCCTTCTAGCTTTAATTTTGGAATTCCTTCTTTTAAAATGGCACTTTCTTCATGGCTGCTCTGACTCTCATTGTGGATATCTTCACATTTACTTTTATCTTTTCAACTTTTATCATCAAGAGGAGCCATACCAGTAGTTTCCATTCTAATCAGCATCACTCTTACAATCACTGAAATTACCGGACCCTCTTATCTCACTCTCATCAGTAATAGTGAGGCAGTATGAATCAGAGAAGCTAGGATTCTAATATTCCTAGTTTTTAGATGTAAATGTAATGAGATGCAAAGCTGAATTATGTCTCTGTGTGCAGTATTGGATTACCTCCTACAATAGAACCTGGCATTCTTAATTTGGTAAGAATCGTAAAATGGGGAAGCGTGATGGGTTTTAATCTAATTCATAAGACAAGTTTTGAGTGCTACAGTACAATAGGCAGTGGGGAAGTTGCATTTTCTGTATATCTGATGCAGTTTTAAACAGCACAGAATTTTGAGAGCAAAAGGTTTCATGAAGTAGTAAGCGATCTCCCTCCTTCACCGCTTTTATTCCATCACCCACTACCAAGACGTTCCTTTTTATTAGAAATTAGTGTATACCTGAATAGAAAATTCCCTGTGGATTCATATTTTTTTGCTCTAAAACAAAATCCTGTGTGCATCTGGGTCTGGTTAAGCAAATTGTTCCTTTGTGGTCACTTTTAGTTTGACCTATTGATCCTGCAGATAGTACCCACAGTTCTTGGGATGTAAAAAATAATAATCCTGGTGCATAATCTTACACAAGGTGAGCACTTCTGTTACAACTATTCAAACAGATTCCATAATGTTTGCATAGATAAACATCTACAGTACAGGACTTCAGCAAGTGCAGGGAGGCAGTGGAACTGGTTTTTCATGTTTGTATTAATTTTCAGAGTGAACTTTTATACCCACTAAGGGAAGCGAATGTTACCATCTGTTATGGACAGTGCTATATTCTTAATGGAAAATGTTTCACTTTTTTATATTAAACAGATATGTCAGCTTTCTTATATCTCTGCCATTGAAATACTTATTTTCTTAATGTCTCGAAAGAGAGTTCACAGCCTTTTTTCAGCACAAGAGGTAAAAAAAACCCAAAAAGCAATTTCTGCAGCAAAACCTACATATACAATATACATAAGTTGCCCAGAGTTGCCTTATAGGGGATATGGGCAGCAAATAAATAAATAAATAATTTATAAAAAGCTCTGTTAGCTTCTTCTACATCAGTGGTTCTCAACCTTTTTAATGCCGCGACCCCAACCGGTCGTATGTCGAGGACTACCCAACCAGTCATAAGTCCAGGACTTTCCCTGCCCGGGAGCGCTGCGCATGTGTGGTGCCGCCCCCTGCACCGGCCGAGGCGTAGCTGGCAAGGGACAGCGATGGCGCAGGGCGACCACCGGCTGGGCCACCAGCTGGCCCAGTCCAAGGGAAGTAAGGCACTCGCCGGGCCCCACGCGCGCCAGCAACCCTCCCTGCACCCACCGGCCTCGCACCTCCCACCCCTGGCCCTCTTTTACTTACATTTTTAGTAGTTGCTCAGCAGGGAGGGGTGGAAACTTACAGACAGCTCGCCTTCGCTGCAGACAACTTGCAGCACTGTTTGCAGACTGGGGCTTTTGGCGGGCTCAGCAGGGCAGAGACAGCCTGGACAATTCCTATTGGCTTTTGAAAGCCAATAGAATTAGACTCTATTCAAGAGAGTCTATTCTAAAAGCTTTCAAAAGCCAATAGAATAAAAGGGAGTAGCACAGCTAAGGAAAAGGGGGAAAAAATGGTGGACTCCGTTGTTTGGCGACCCCCGTGAAATGGTTGTTCGACCCCAAATGGGGTCGCATCCCACAGGTTGAGAACCCGCTGTTCTACATGAAAAGATCCTGACTAGGTTCTGAATAACTTAACAGACAAATGGGTAGAGTTCTACCATGGGAAATATCCAGAATTATAGCCAGTGCTGCTAGCTCTTCCCTGGATTTACACTTTGTAGTAAGTCATAAATTTGATTTACAAACCAAATTGGCTCAATCAGTATCAAATAAACCACATGATAGTTTGTCCAAAGATATGAATCTAGCTTTTGTCAGCTTTGTGAGATGAAAGCAGGATCTTGAATAAGCCTGGGAGAGCATTGCTTAGCTTTCTACTGCCTCTCAAATGCAGCAGTTTATTTTTATTTATTTATTGAGCATATGGCATGAAGTGTCAAAGTATATAGATATATAGATATAGTTATATAGCATGGACTACTTCCAAGATAGTATACGTTCTGTTTTAACAGAGCAGCTAAAAGTCTACAGCAACCAAACTGAATATTGTATCCCTCATGGTCAAAACCTACAGAGGCAGCAGTTAATGGTAGGGGAGTCATAACTCCTTATTACTGCCAGGTGTCACAGTATATTTATATAAATACATTTCTGCTTGTGTATCACAAATCAACATTGTGATGTCTTCACGAGCTGAGAACATTTGCAGAATGCTCTTTTCCTATAACTCACACATTAGTTTAATAAACATGCTTCATTTCCAGCCCAAAGGAGCAGATAGAAAACAAAAGACCGACAGAGAGAAAATGGAAAAGCGAACTCCTCATGAGAAGGAAAAATACCAACCCTCTTATGAAACGACAATACTTACAGAGGTAAAAGAAGAAATCCAAACTCTGTGAACAAAACACTTGAGCTAGGGCTCAAGAAAGATAGCTGTTCATATGCTCATAGTGCTGTATTAATAACCAAATACTAATTTGGATCAAATACTGGCAACATTATAAATCAGGCTTTCTCAGTCTGATGCCCCTAAACACTGTTGAATTACAACACTCTTACTCAGTAAGCATAGTTATTTATTTTGAAGATAAGATGTTTGGAAAGTCTGGGGTGAAATCTCAGTTAAATTAGAATTTGAGGACCAGAGTAGACAGATATCAGTGTTATACAGCAAATAAAATAGTGCTAATGACTGAAAAGTAATGTCTCTAGGAATCAAGCTTGGCTCCTAGTGATTTTACAGATGCATCCATATGGCTTTCTTAGCAACAATATATGTTAATCTACCACTGCCACTTTCTGGACTTTTTTTTTTTTTTTAATTTCCTTAGTCTAGCCCAGGGGTAGGCAACCCAAAACACTCAAAGAGCCACTTGGACCCGTTTCACACCAAAAACAAAACACCGGGAGCCGCAAAATCCTTTTGATATCTAAAATGAAGATAACACTGCATATATCCTTTTTTACCTTTATTATAGGAGTGTGTGTGTTTGTGTGTGTGTTTGTGTGTGTATATATGTGTGTGTGTGTGTATATGTATACACACACACACACACACACACATATATATATACACGTACATACACATACAGGTAAAAAAAGGATATATGCAGTGTTATCTTCATTTTAGATGTCAAAAGGGTCTCTCTCTCTCTCTGTCTCTCTCCCTCCCTCCCTCTCTGCCCTTGGTCTGCCACTCCTCTTCCCCCACTCTCTTTCTTTCTCTCTCTTTCTTTCCTTTCTCTCTTTCCTCTCTCTCTCCCTCCCTCCCTCCCTCTGTTTCTCTCTCTCTCTTTCTCCCCCCCCCTCCTATCTGCTGCTCACCTGGCAAGCTTCAAGCTGTTGTCCAACAAGCTCAGGGGTAAGCAACCTCGTCTCTTTTATGACTCATGGACTTCAACTCCCAGAATTCCTGAGTCAGCCTAGCTGGGCTAGCTAGCTCTCTCCTGCCCTTCCTGCTTCCTGCAGAGACGCAGCAAAGGGAGGGGCTCCGTCCAGTAAGCTTTTCAGCTCCTCTGAGAATACTGTGAGTGCAATCTTTTTTTTTTTACACACACACATACACACACACACACAAAGAGAGAGAGAGAGAGAGCACACACACACACACACACACACACACACACACACACACACACACACACAGAGAGAGAGAGAAGCAGGGAAGCGCAATTGCCTCTCTCTGTCTCTGTCTCTCTCTGCAAAGGCAGAGGAGGCTGGGAGCCACAGGGGAAGGCTCAAAGAGCCGCATGCGGCTCCGGAGCCGCAGGTTGCCGACCTGTGGTCTAGCCAAAAGCCCTGGCATTTCCTGGAGTCTCCCATTCAAGTATTAAGCAAATCTGATTATGTTTAACATTCCAGGATCAAGTAGTTGTTGCAACACAGATAAGCAGCTGAGGAGTATGCTCTTTCACACAGCAAAGGTTATTGTCCCAAGCTATTAATATCTCCTCAGGTCTGTTATATGTTATTTTCTATAGATGCATGATAAACAATAATAAAAAGAATCCCTAAAGTAGGCTAAGTGCCGTCTTTGTGTGCTCCATGCTGCTTTTAAGCAAGATTGCTGGCAGCCATTCATTCTGTGTTAGTTTATCATTGCAGCACATTCTTAGGTTGTAAATCACTGGTGCAAATGTTGTATTCATAAATAGGGAAAAGATAGTAAGTGGGAGAATCCTAACCTGAGTCACAGTTTGGTTAAAATCCATACCTTATGCATAAAAAAAATACGAGACATTCAGCAATAATTCATCACTTCCGACCAGCATGAGGCTTGGGTGCGAAAAGATGCTTTTTTCAAATACTAGTATACAAATAGTATACGAATTTTATGAAAATAAAAGAATCTTTCATAGCTTCTCTTAAGAAGCAACCTTGCTTAAAAACAACACAGAGCACATAAAGACTGCACAGCCAACTTTAGGGATTTTTTATTTTTTATTTGAAAAAGATCACTTGTACCTTTAACCTCAAAATAAGCCTTTTTTTGGTAGCATTTAAGAAAGGAAAGTTTTAAATTAGAGCTTGTGCCTCTAGCTTAGAATGAACAAAATGATTCCAATAAATGTATAGTTTTCCTCAGATAAATTGGATGTACTTTTTTTTTTCTTTTATCAAGAGCTGGGAAAGTGAAAAGCGTAGAAGCAAGGGGCGGGGAAGGCAGGATCCATTCGTATCCATCACTAGAAAATTTGTGGTGTGAAGACAGAAACATTGTGGAATATTCACATTAGAAGAAGGGTATATATTTTTTTCTTCCAGTGCTCTCCATGGCCTGAAATCACGTATGTCAACAATGTGCCATCACCTGGCTTTAGCAGTTCTCACAGCAGCTTCTCTATCAGTGAAGGGTAGGTATCCGTATATTCTTTATGCCTGTATATATTTTTTCAAAGGCCTCTCTGTTTATTGGTTTCTTTACTCTAGGACGGGGGTAGGTAACCTTGGCTATTTTATGACTTGTGGACTTCAACTCCCAGAATTCCTGAGCCAGCCATGCTGAGGGGAAAGGGAGAGGTTTCTAAGCTGAGCCATGCTGGCTCAGGAATTCTGGGAGTTGAAGTCCACGAGTCGTAAAAGAGCCAAGGTTGCCTATCCCTGCTCTGGTCATCTTCTCATGTCTTTGCATTAGTACACCCCTTTCTCAAAAAAAAAAGAAAGAGAGAGAGAGAGAGAGAGAGAGAGAGAGAGAGAGAGAGAGAGAGAGAGAGAGAGAGAGCATGGGGCAAAAACAGTGAATGTTCAAGAGAATGGATATTTTTCACTTTAAAAATACTATTTGTGAAGAGAGGTATTAGCTTGCAGGGATAGAGGTGCTGCTGAAACTAACTTGCTCCTTATTATTAAAATTCTTTTCCCAGCTGTCTCTTAGGCCAGAATTCCCCAACCTTTCGGGGTTGGTGGCCCGGAGTGGAGGGGGGGGAAGAAGGGATGTTTTTGGGGGGAGGTGAATGCATGCGCATGCACACACAAACACTCATTGCTCATGAGAATGGAGCCATGAACACCTGAGATGCTTGCACGAGTGGGACTGTGAATGACTGCAAAGTTTGCACGAGTGGGGCTGTGTGCATGCACACACACGTGCACACCGGGCAGCCAATAGACCACAGCCCAGTAGTGGGCTGCGGCCCACAGGTTGAGGACCCCTGTCTTAGGCAGCCTGACATATAAATCAGGTAGAAGATGAGGAGGGTATTAATCTTCAGCAGCAGCAGAAGCAGCAAACATAAAAGAGCTTTTTACCCTGTCTTTATATAAAAATAGAAGAAAGGAAAATGGCTGCTCTTTCTGCTTTTGAGCACAAGTCTAGCTTTCCTTGTTGGCTAGAGGTCTTTGAGCCAAGACTAAATGACTATTCAGGGATCTTCCAGCTTAAGGTTTCCTGCATCCAGCAAGGAGTTGGGCTAAATAGCCTCCAAGACCTTTAAAGCCAAAACACACACACACTCACACAAAATGTGAAGTGTTACATTCGCATGACCTTTAATGATTGTATAGGCTACCGTTACCTTCCATCTTAATAATTTGTTCTTATTAAGATTAATTCTGACAAAAACCTGAACTTCAGCGATGCTTAAAGGAAAGGCCATGGAAAGGTCATAATTTTTTAGTTGTTCTTTTTAACTATGATTCTGTTGAACTCCCGTCAATCTTCTGGCAGGATATGGAATATTTAAATAAGTGCCAAGAAGAGAAAAAAAAAAGCAAAATTCAGGTGCCTTTTCTGTTTTTTTTTTTCTAAAACTAGGAACGGGTCTCCAAACCACCAACCTGAACCTCCAGCTCCAGTTACAGATGTACGTTTTAATTCATATGTCCCACTTCTTTCTCTTCCCTTCCTCACTGCTCACTCCAGGTGGGAATGGGATGGTCTGATCTAGCTGACCAAAGGGTACTTTCCCCTGAGTTATCTGTTCCTCATGCAAAATGCTGCAACTGATAACACCGTGAGTCTTGTTGTCCAGGTGGACAAATGAATAGCCTGAGATTATCCTGGAGCCCCCCCAGCATTCCTAATAAATGGGCAGAGCCAAAAACGATTGAAGAGGCAAATGGATGTCTTAAAATGTGCAGGGCACCTGTTTGGCCTCTTTAATCTCCTGAACCTCCTTCCTGGAATAGCTCCTGCCTCCATCCGCTTTTGGAGTGCTACCCTCAACCTGCAATTATTCAGAGCTTAGTAGAGCCTTCTGGCTAATAGAAGTTGCAAATTGGTATTAATCCAAGGCTTCAAACGTAACAAAACACACTAGTTGGAGGTTTCAGGTTATATGTGGAGATGCTGGGGGAAGATTGCATACAAATGCCCAGTTTCAAAATACAAAATGTTTTAATAGGTTGTCTAGTTCTGTAATCGATCTGCATTCTTCTTGCAGAGAAGCAATTGAGTTTCTTTTTGCCCTAGAACCTCTTGCCAACATCCACACCTCAGGAAGCTCAGCAGTGGCTGCACCGGAATCGCTTCTCAACTTTCTCACGGCTTTTCACAAACTTCTCAGGTAGAACCGAAACTTTTTTCCCCCTCTTTACTAATACCTCAGGAGAGGCCTTCAGAATTTGCATCCCTTAATTCCCCTGCCATCTTCTCTTAACGCTCTCCCTTCATGACATCCTCTCGGAATTTCTTTCTACACCTCTTCAAGCTAATGCACCTGAATGGTTCTCCACCTTGAGGACTATCCCAAGGAGCACCGTTCTGTAACTCGGTCTGCTTTTGGTTATTGCAGTACAAATGAGCTGCTAGTTCTGGGCAGATGTTAGGCAATGCTTGTTTAAATTACTGGAAGGAGAAGGCTTAAATAAAACCTTACAACCCCCATGACTTATTCTACTCAGATTTAAAAAAAAAAAGCCCTTTCTCTTCATATCCAAAACAGGCAAAGGACCTGGGCCACTTTTCTTTCATCCCCAAGCCAAAAAAGCAGTGGTAGATTATTTATGACCTGGGTAGTAATCTCCCTGTGGCACGTCATGTGTCTTTTAACTTAATATTCAGATGCACTGGTCTCTGAAGCAGAAATCCTTTTTGTAAATTAGGATGTGCTACAGATGGTGAGGGGCTGAAATAGGGAAGTTGCTGGAGGGGGCAGGGCTTTTTTTTTTTTTAAACAACTTAAGTAGCCTGCTAGAAGCTCAGTACATTCATTTTGACCTTCATTTGAGCGGAAAAGCAATGAATGATTGAACTGAGGAAAAATAAGCAATTGGAAATACGGGGAACGAAAGTGAGGTTTTTACTGCGGTTAAGTTGCCCCCATTAATGAAGAAAATTGGGGGAAACAAGCTGTTACGCTGTGTTAAAACTTTTTAAAATTACTTTTCATCTTACATGTCAGTTGCGTCCTTTCCTCGATCTGGAGTCCCTTCAGGCAGTCAGGCAATCCCGCCCTGGTTTCCTCAAGATTGAATTATTGCAATGTTCTCTACATGGATTTGCCCGTAAAGACCACACAGAAGCTGCAGCTGAGTCAAAATGCGGTGACGCAAGCAGTAATGGACATGTCTCCATGTGCCCATGTGATACTGCTTCTGTGCAAGCTTTATTGGCTGCCAGTTGGCTTCTGAGTGCAATTCAGGGTGCTGGTTATTACCTATAAAACCCTCAATGGGCACAGAGCCTGGATATCAAAGAGTGCTTGTCTCCAATAATTTCTTCCAACCCGGTATTTTTCAGCAGAGCGGGTGCGCTCTATGTCCCCTCCATTATTTACTTGCTAAATTTATATGATGCCCATCTCACTGCCAATTAAATATTATCATCCCGGGGGTAGTGTTGTTGTGGCCCTCACTCTCTGGAAGAGCATTTCCTTCCCTGCAGAGATAAGGATGGTTCCCTCTCTCCTAAGGTGCTGGAAAACTTTGAAAATTTGACTTTGGTTCCAGGTCGGGGGTTTATGTTTGTTATTTGTTTCATGGCCTATTTTGTGAATTTATTAAGAGTATTTTGGTCTAAGCCAGTGGTTCTCAACCTTTTTAATTCCGCGACCCCCAACCAGTCGTAAGTCGGGGACTATTCCGGTCATAAGTTGAGGACTAAACCGGTCGTAAATCGAGGACTTTCCCTGCCCGGGAGCGCTGCGCATGCGTGGTGCCATCCCCTGCGCCGGCCGAGGCGTAGCTGGCAAGCGGCAGAGACGGAGCAGGCCGACCACCGGCTCGGCCACCAGCTGGCCCAGCCCAAGGGAGGTAAGGAAAAGGGGAAAAAATGGCAGACAGCCTTGCTTGGCGACCCCCATGAAATGGTCGATCGACCCCAAATGGGGTCGTGACCCATAGGTTGAGAACCGCTGGTCTAAGCTGCCTATTGATGTAATATCTTTAGCTGTTTTTATGTCTTCTTTTAATTTTGTGCACAGCCCAGGGTCTACTGGAATTGGATGGCCTATAAATAATAATAATGATAATTATAATAATAATACTTTTTATCCCTTTTCACTTTTGTAAAAAAAAAATCTTAGGGGCAGACTTACTGAAATTAACCAGAGAAGATGTCATACAAATATGCGGTCCTGCAGATGGCATCAGACTCTTCAATGCGTTGAAAGGACGGTATGTATCAGCTTTATACAGTTGAGGCTTTATGTGTGCTGGACAGTACTGAAACTGTCCCAATTTTTAGTTCTTTTTTGGCACTTGACTGAGACACTTTGCTTATTTATAACCAATTGTTGTTAGTTGCGAAGTCGTGTCCGACCCATTGCGACCCCATGGACAACGTTCCTCCAGGCCTTCCTGTCCTCTACCATCTTCTGGAGTCCATTTAAGCTCATGCCTACTGCTTCAGTGACTCCATCCAGCCACCTCATTCTCTGTTGTCCCCTTCTTCTCTTGCCTTCAATCTTTCCCAGCATCAGGCTCTTCTCCAGTGAGTCCTTCCTTCTCATTAGGTGGCCAAAATATTTGAGTTTCAACTTCAGGATCTGGCCTTCTAAAGAGCAGTCGGGGTTGATCTCTTCTAGGACTGACCGGTTTGATCGCCTTGCAGTCCAGGGGACTTGCAGGAGTCTTCTCCAGCACCATAGTTCAAAGGCCTCCATTCTTTGGCGCTCAGCCTTTCTTATGGTCCAGCTTTCACAGCCATACATTGCAACTGGGAAAACCATGGCCTTGACTATACGCACTTTTGTTGGCAGGGTGATGTCTCTGTTTTTTAGTATGCTGTCTAGATTTGCCATAGCTTTTCTCCCCAGGAGCAAGTGTCTTTTAATTTCTTGGCTGCAGTCCCCATCTGAGGTGACCTTGGAGCCCAGGAAAATAAAATCTGTCACTACCTCCATTTCTTCCCCATCTATTTGCCAGGAATTGAGAGGGCCAGATATGTTACTCCAATCTTAACAACTCTGGGCAGCCCTTCTAGAAAATCCCTTTGTAATACAGGAGAGAACTAAGTTATTACAGGATGCAATACAATCAGACAGGATGAGGCAGGTTACAGAAAAACACAAATATATGCCTCTTTTGGGGGGCTCCTTAGAACTCTGTTGTATAGTTTTTCATTTCTGTCCTTTGGATGTCCAAGATGTGAGCATATGTGCTTTTTAAAAATTAAATAAATGCTTGCTTTTTAATTTCCCTTCCTTTTGAAATACATTTTGAATCTCCCTCCCCCCCCCCAATTCCCTGCCAGCCATGTTTGAGGTGTAGCTAGAGCAGACTTTAATACTCTGCAGTTTCTTGGGTTGTTAGTTGTCCTTCAGGTGAAGAAAAAAACAGATATTCCCAGGTGAATAGCACCTTCTGGCAAAAATGTTTTCCTAATATCACACCATACCACTAAGTTAATGTAGCAGTTCTGATTGTTCAGATAGGACTGGCTAAAGTGGGGGTGGGGGATTGCTGTGTAGGCTCGTTGGTTTCATGCAACGAGTCCTCCAAAAAAAAGAGAACCTCATGCTCCCGCCCCCCCACGTATATACACTTTTCACTGGATTGATGAACTGCTTGCTTCCGCAGTAGAAAGCTCACTGCCCTTGCTATTCAGGGAATGTGTGCAAAACATGTGAAGGAGAGGAAAAATACCAGGGAGGGGAAATGGAGAAGAGACAAGAAATTGAAGGTGAAGGATGTAGTCAAGAACACAGTGTGGACGTTTGGGGAAGATCAAAAAAAAGGTGCAGAGAAAGTAGGTATTTCCCCCTGCTGTGATAAAGTAAGGGGGCAGATAAATCTGGCTTACAGTATAAAGTAGTCCAGTGAGCAAGAAAACATGGAGACCTCTGACCACATCATGTAGCACAGCCTTCTTTAAATCTGGCAACAGACTTGCAGTTGCCGCTCTACGTACGTCTTTCCTGATGCTGTCACAATTGTTTTTGTTATATAAATCGAAGTGAAAGGAGGTTGCAGAAAAATAAGTACTGCTGCATGACTGGCCACAAAAGCATCTAAAGGCAGCTAATAAAAAAAACTTCCAAATGAACGAGGGGATTAGCTTCTTGAGGCTTCTTCTTGGAACAGGTGGAGAATTCATTTGTTCGTTCATTCCGTTCATTCATTCATTCATTATATATGGCCATCTATCTCAAATTCTTGATTCTTGACTTACGACTTTAACACCATAAAATGTACAATAGGATGAGTTGGAGCAGGTGACTCCCTGAGGAAGTGGACAGGACAATCTGTGATTGGCCATCTGTTTACTGGATCCAAGTCCCTCCTTGATTTGAAAATACTGTCAGCCTTTTTGAGAAAAGACGGGTCCTCAACCTTGAAAAAGGCTGGGTTGCATCCCGTCCTCAAGAGGCTGTCCTTAGAGTCAAACATCTTCGATAACTGTCAACCAGTCTCCAATCTTCCTTTCTGTGGATAGTTGTTCAGAAAATTGGTTGGTTTGCAGCTGATGTGAATCCTAGAGGAAATGGATTATCTAGTCCTGTTTCAGTCAGGTTTCAGGCTGGGATTTAGTACCGAGATAGATCTAGTCAGGCTTGTAGATAACCTGTGGTGGAGCTGGGGTGGTGTGCATCCATCCTTCACTACCGTTGACTACGTATCCTGAATTTGCTCTGTGGATTGGGAATTGGCACCACTGTAACATAGTTTTCTTCCTTTCTCCAGAGCTGGTTCCAGTCAGTATTAGGTAGTTGGGGGAGACACTTCCTAGGCCCCTCCTGTGTTGGTTATTGTAGGTTTCTATTATCTCTCCCTTCTTGTCACCATCTACATCAGTGGTTCTCAACTTTTTTAATGCCACGACCCACCTCAACCGGTCTTAAGTCGAGGACTACTCAACCGGTCGTAAGTTGAGGACTACTCAACTGGTGCAGCACCGTTTGCAGAATGGGACTTTTGGTGGGCTCAGCAGGGCAGAGACAGCCTGGACAATTCCTATTGGCTTTTGAAAGCCAATAGAATTAGACTCTATTCAAGAGAGTCTATTCTATTGCCTTTCAAAAGCTAATAGAGTAAAAGGGAGTAGCACAGCTAAGGAAAAGGGGGAAAAAATGGCGGACTGCGTTGTTTGGCGACCCCCGTGAAATGATCGTTTGACCCCAAATGGGGTCCTGACCCACAGGTTGAGAAGCACTGATCTACATGGATCCTCTGGGTGAAGTCATCAGCCAGTTTTCGGTTCAGGATTGATACCCAGTTACATGTTTCAACCCTGATCCAGCCAAACGAAGCTGTTGAAGTTCTGTCCCAGTACCTGGAGTTTGTGTAGGTTTGGATGGGGAAACACTGCAAAATCAGTCCTACCAAGACAAAATGGCTACAGGTGTCCGGGCTCCCTGAATCTGGGATATTTCATGTCTGACCTTGGATGGAGTGGCATTTCCTCATTCAAAGGTGGTGTGCAACTTAAGGGTCTTCTTAGGCTTACGCCTCCTGTTCAATGAACAGATGGCAGCTGTGGCCAGGAAGGTCTTTGCCAAGCTTCATCTGCATTAGTTGCAGCCTTTCCTAGATTGGGGAGGGGAAGGGGCTGCATAACTACATTCTCTGCCAGCTGTATCTTCTGGATGGCTCTTCAAGGGCAGCTCCACATATAGTGTATTGCAGTAGTTCATTTGGGAGGTCACCAAGATATGAGTTTGAGTAGAGCCTCCCTGATTTAGGAATAGGTGCAATTGGCAGATGGTTAGTTGTGCAAAGGCCACCTTTGGCTATGATTGCCACATGCTCCTCAAAGAGACTCTTCACTCCTCACTTTTATTCTGCTTGAGAAAGATTCATGGATTCAGTTGTAGAGCAAAGGCTTCGATAAATCAGGTTGAATTTCATATATCATTTTAATAGACTTCTGGATAAAAAAGAAAGGACAAATGCTGCTGGCTACTTCCTTCTCTGTGTGTGCTTCTATTTCCTCGCTTATGAAATGGAAATTAGTGTTCTGCTTTGGCATGCAAACAAAAACTTGTCAGGCAAATTTTAAAAAGGCATTAATTGTAGATGCCTTATTTACAGAAGCTGAATCAGTGTTAAATCTTCTCTCATCTATCAAAAATTTATGGCACAAGCTTTCCAAGATTATAACATTGACGTCACAATACAGATTGGGGATTGCAGTTATTTCTAAATTGTTTTTCCACCAGTGACCCTGAGCAACATAAATAATACACAGAGGTAGTCCTCACTTAAAGGTGGTAATTGAGTTAGGCAACTGTCATTAAGTGATAACAGTTGTAAACTGCAACTTCATTTGGCTGTGCCAGCTTACAACAGCAGCTCTGGCTGTTTTTGTCAGGCAAATCCCACATGATTGATAGGCATGACTTTATGTAGTGGCCACAGTTCGCCAATTCCTGCCAGCTTCCCCATTAATTTTGCTTGTCAGAAGGTGGCAATGAAGGCCTCGGATGGTGATCATGTGACTGCAAGGATGCTGCACAGCCACACCTTCAAAGACCAGTCTTCTATTTCCTCGTTCAGCATCATCGTAATTTCAAATGGCTGCTGCTTTGGCAGCTTTTTTGAAAAATGTAAGCAAAGACTGCTTGTATTGAAATACTCCAGTATATAAACACAGCAAAGGAGCAGCTTATTAACAGCACCTTCCATACAGTTTAAATCACTCTTGAGGGCCGGTTTTATACAGTATGTTATAAAAAGTTTTGTATCTTGTTAACTCCCTTTTTTCTTTGTTCTCCATATTATATATCTAGTTTATTATTTTATTTTATTTTTCCTTTTACTTCATAAAATGCATATCTCCTATCTATGCTGAAGATTTGCAGTTCTGTTTCCTTCTCCTCTGTTTCATCTGTATACAATATTTTCCCTTCTTTTACTTTCTGCTCAACAGAAGTATTCTGTAAGTACTACCAATCTTTCTGCATCACAGTTTGGCATTTCTCCTTTTTTCTTTATATTCTTGGGATTCCCCCCCCCCCCAGCCTCTCCCTGTTTATGTTTACTGCTATTTCTCTTCACTGAATTTAGCAGAATATGATGGTAAATATTGCAGCTCAGTTGAGCGTCAACCGAGTGGAAATAAACATGCTACTCTGCATGATTAGCAAACATGATTCTAAGACAGGGGTCTTCAAACTTGGCCCTTTTATGATTTGTGGACTTCAACTCCCAGAAGTCCTCAGCCAGGCAGTTTGAAG